AATTTAGTTTTTCCAAAAAATCGACTCCCACCCTTGGAAAAATTTCGACCAAAAATCAAAATTTCATATGCATGTTTTTTTTAGCTCAATCGATTCCTTTCGACGCAAGAAGGTCACAAATATGCATTTATAAAGTGTTTGGGTCAATAATAAGGCAGAAATCGTCGGTTAAAGATCGTGAACTCTCAAAAAACGCTTAAAATGTGCCAAAAATGTCTATTATTTCGGATCTGAACCTTCTAACATGTTTTTGAATGAGTTCTATGCATTCCTCGCGTCCGTGAGCTGAAAATGATTTCGTGACTGAAGTGCTTTTTTCGCTTCAGTAAAAACAGCCATATCGACTTTAAATAAAGTAAGTTCGTTTAATAGGCAAGTTTTCGTCTAAACTTGGCCAATTTCTGGTCCATCGCCTCCGTTTAACTTCACATGATTTGTCGAGGAAACATTGTCCCCAACCGCCCTTAACCATCGATCTTCAGAGACTCGAATATTCCAATTAATTACATACTCATTTGGATCCATTCGGAGAAAATGCGATGGCAAACTAGTTAAAAAGCTGCGTGTTGAAATTGAATCGTGTGTTATTTTTAACGCGCCGTCCCCCTGATTTAATAAATTAAGCTGCAGTCGAAAGTTGACAGCGGTGTTTAAAATAACATACATCTCTGCTTCTTGTCTTCGGGCATTTATTGCAGCGAATCCTGCCAGGTCGTGCCGACAGCGATTTTTCCGATCGCTCCAGCCTTTGATAACCACTCATAAATCATATCGGGGCTCAAACAAATTGTCATCGTAGCCAGGTTTATGGGGATAGTGAAATATGCTTCCGACTGGCGATTAATCCACATTTCGTTTCGTTCCAGATGGCCAAAACCACCTCAACCTGTTCAACTCCCGGCAGCAGCCGAAGAAGAAGCGAAAATCGCGCACCGCCTTCACCAATCACCAGATCTTCGAGCTGGAGAAACGATTCTTGTACCAAAAGTACCTCAGTCCGGCCGATCGGGACGAAATTGCGCAAAGTTTGGGCCTGACCAATGCCCAAGTGATCACGTGGTTTCAGAACCGCAGGGCCAAACTGAAACGGGACATGGAGGAGCTGAAAAAGGACGTGGAAAGTGCGAAAATTCTAACGGCTCACAAGAATTTTTTAGAGACCGTTCAAGACTTGGGTGTGCTCAAGAAAAAGGCCGTCATCACTGAGGATGATTGTCCGAAAAATTTGGTTATGGGTGATAAATAAGTCCATTATGTGGTAGTCAGACAATGGCAGACTACACCCGATTTATTTTATTTTATACATATATATTTATTTTTGAATTCTTTAAAAAGCCCAAAATTTAAGCACTTGCCTGTGTGTAGTCTGCCTCCTTAATCCCGTAAAAACATATTCATTCTGCCTGACAAAATTTTGTTAAAGCCCCCAATTGGTCTTCAGTAAAATGTGGAAATTTGTGCATTAATTGAATTCCTGCAGATGCAAAAGTTCCTTAACGATGAGTTGTATCATCTTTGCAGAGTTTGTAAAATAGCCAGTGTATCTATCTAAAGACAGTTTCAGGTTGTTGATCAGTATTTGAAATTTTAGCAAACGTTTCTCAAAACTCGAATTATCAATCCAGAGTGCCTAATAGTACGGGCGCTGATGCTGGATAATTCGGGTTTTAACACGAGTGATAATTTTCCTTAATTAACATAGATTGATGTAAATTGTATATATTTTGTACATAGATTAATGTGTTGTAAATTGTAAAAAGTCCCACCACATAAGAAAGTTATTTAATTTTGTAATATTTATTATTTCGTCGCAACGACGGGTGACTTGCAATATTGTCAATGTAAAAATTACGTGTCTATTCACTAAAAGCTGAGTACTTAAGGCTACTGTGTCTGTGTAAATAAAGTGAACCTGAAAAATCCTTCCTGCTATTTTACTCATTATTCCTGGCGCTTAACAACGCGAAACCGTGGACTATTTACAGAACCTGGTCCTGCAGAGAGCAGCGATAAATGTCAATGAGCATTTAAATCATAATCTTTGTGGTGTTGCTGCCAACTAAATTAGTCCATATCTCAAGTAATCAAAAAGATAATTTAAGCGACAAGCGGAAATGTGTTTAGAACGAAGTTAAACATGTGTAACGCTTTGAAAGCCGAGAAGGACAGCGAAATAAAAACGGGAGCAGCTTTTTAATATCGGAATTTTCCTAGATTTGCGTTCTGATCGCAATGTTCCACAAACTTCTAACTTATTGGTTACTAATAATAAAAGCGAATAACCGAACAGTTATAAATAAGCGGTTTAATCCCATAGAGCTTTGAGCTTAACCGCCTGATATATGATAATATAATCAATATAGCACTGAAGGAATAATAACAATTTAATAACCGCCTTATAATGTCGAAGATCCATAAAACGGTAAAACGGTGCTCTCATCACATATTTGTTGTTCAGCACCGCCATCTTCGAGATGAGGCAATAAAGTGAGGCTTAATAATATTTACGGACAGGCTTCTGATTATTTTAATTAAATTTATTATGAAGGAGCCAACTTAACCGCTAATTTATATTTGTCGTGAATGTTCCGACCGTGTATATTTCAACTTTTAAGTATATTAGGCGGTAGGTGCATGTTGCGGCTCGACCAGTTCTAGCCAGTTGGTTGATTTTCATTAAAATGCAAATTCCACTTCTAGACTTAATTCGTTATTGCCAGTTTGGGCGTGTTCAACAGATAGTTGGAGATTTTAAAATATAGAGATAAATTCGATAGGCCATAAGAAGTCTGGCGACTCTGGATGAGAAGTGAAGATTTTTTGAAAGTCTGTCTCAACTCTGGCCAGTCTCAACTGAAACTTTGGGGATTTTTTGGAAATCAGTCCACATTCCGATAGTATTTAAACTTAGCAATCTGACAGAGTGAAGTGTGTTTCATAAACGAGTCTAACGGGAAATTTGCTATCTATTTCAAGATAGACAAAAAAAAATTGAAAATGGCTCAGCATGAAAGATTTCGTCAAGTTCAACTGAAAGTTTGGGAATTTTTTTTGAAAATGAGTCTTACCTACGATAGTATTTGAACTTAACCGTCTGGTAGAGTGAAGTGTCTTTGATAAGTGCGCCTAATCGAAAATTTGCTGCCTGCTCCAGCTTGGACATACAAGATTTTTGAAAATAGCTTAGCACGAAATATTTTGTCATCTTAAACTCACAGTTTGGAATTTTTTTTCAAAATCAGCCTACACTCCGATAGTATTTGAACTTGGCGCTCTGATAGAGTGAAGTGTGTTTGATAAGTGCGCCTAATCACAATCTTGCTGCCTGCTCCAGGTTGGAACCAAAAATTTTTTGAAAATGGTTCTACACGAAAGATTTTGTCAGGTTTGATTAAAAGTGTGGATTTTTTTTGAAAATAAGTCTTCACTACGATAGTATTTGCACCTAGCAGTCTGGTAGAGTGAAGTGTCTTTGATAAGTGCGCCTAATCACAAATTTGCTGCCTGCTCCAGATTGGACTAAAAATTTTTTTTAAAACGGCTCAAACGAACGATTTTCTCAAGTTTGACTGAAAATTCGGAATTTAATTGAAAATTAGTCTACGTTCCGATAGTATTTGAACTTCGCACTCTGGTAGAGTGAAGTGGGTTTGTAAAGTGCGCCTAATCACAATCTTGCTGCCTGCTCCAGGTTGGAACCAAAAATTTTTTGAAAATGGCTCTACACGAAAGATTTTGTCCGGTTTGATTAAAAGTGTGGATTTTTTTTGAAAATAAGTCTTCACTACGATAGTATTTGCACATAGCAGTCTCGTAGAGTGAAGTGTCTTTGATAAGTGCGCCTAATCACAAATTTGCTGCCTGCTCCAGATTGGACTAAAAAATTTTTTGAAAACGGCTCAACACGAACGATTTTCTCAAGTTTGACTGAAAATTCGGAATTTAATTGAAAATTAGTCTACACTCCGATAGTATTTGAACTTCGCACTCTGGTAGAGTGAAGTGGGTTTGATAAGTGCGCCTAATCACAATCTTGCTGCCTGCTACAGGTTGGAACCAAAAATTTTTTGAAAATGGCTCTATACGAAAGATTTTGTCAGGTTTGATTGAAAGTGTGGATTTTTTTTGAAAATAAGTCTTCATTACGATAGTGTTTGCACTTAGCAATCTGGTAGAGTGAAGTGTCTTTGATAAGTGCGCCTAATCACAAATTTGCTGCCTGCTCCAGATTGGACTAAAAAATTTTTTGAGAACGGCTCAACACGAACGATTTTCTCAAGTTCGACTGAGAGTTTTTGTCAAGTTGAACTAAAAATTCGTTAATATTTTTGAAAATTAATCCATACTCCGACAGTATTTCGACTCAGCAGTCTGGTAGAGTGAAGTGTGCTTCATAAACGTGCGTAACTGCAAATGTGCTGCCTGCTTCAGGTTGGACTAACAAAATTTTAGAAAATCACCCTGCATTAAAGTTTTTATTAGGTTCAACTGAAAGTGTCTGTGGTCCATTTAGATTGAAATTTGCCCCATTTCTAGCCAGTGTTCTTGGTTAGAACTTGACAAAATCTTAAGTGTTTAGTTGCTCTAGGTTGGACGTGAGAATTTTTCGAAAATGCTTCAACTTCCAACGAACAAAGTTTGAAAACAGTGTCTCGAAACGTTAACTAGTTTATTCCGTAACAATTTTGGTCCAATTTTGCTTATTGTTTTTCGTGAACAGAGGTTGAACGTTATTTTCAAAAATAATCAAAGTTCATTGGCTGCAACTGCAGTTTTGGCCAATCAAAATGTTTGTTGTTTCCAATCGAATGCTACAACTAGCGACAATCTAGCAGCAAAAGGAAAAGTTGATGAACATTTTATAGTCCACCCTATATATTGGCCATTCGATTACAGGCAGATCCCATTAAGTTCAAGTTGGAAATGTGGCCGAAGGAGGCAATTTGGGGATGTTAGAGCATTTTACACGGTCTGTCTCACATGTGAGCTCCAAAAAGAATCGCACTAAATAATGGCTTCTTTCTTTCGCCGTCAAAAGCACCATTAAATCGCCTTTGTAATGCTTAATTGTGCCAGTGACCCTTATTAATTGATTGACGGTGATTGGATGCCAATTTTATAAGACAATCAAAGTGAGCAAATGGTGTGTTTTGCTATCCGCTTGCGTTGATTGGCGATGTTTGTCTTGGTGCTTCGGACTTTCGGCCTCCTACTACAATAAGAACTTTAAGTAAGTAAGTAAGTCCTTCGATTGGGCTTCGCCCCTGCAAAGAGGAGAAACGTGGTGTTTTTTCTTCCTTTTTTTAATGACACGGCATTGGCAGATGCAAAGACCACTAATTAATATAATTAGGGATCAATGACGGCAATTTCGCACATTTGAAAATTAATGACTAATGGTCATCGAATTGGCCGGTGGATATCGATAAATCAAGGATCACTTATGGGATCGCGGGCGGTCGATTAAGAGGGCCCAAGCTGACGTCACGGCAACCTTTCATTAGGAAAGTGGCTAGATTTATGTGCCGGCTAAGATCAAAGGCGGCTAGGTGTGAGACCAATTGTTCCCGTGACAAAACACTGCCAAGTAATTTACGGTTCACTTTGGATTGTTCGCGCGATGATGCCGGCACAAGTGAAGAAACGTCCAAACTGCTCTGAGATTTGTCATTTTTCTGCTTTCAACAGATTTCACCTTTTTGGGGGATCTTTTGGTTCAGTTGGCTGCCGCTTCTTGATGGTCAATCACCAATGGAACTTGGTCGCTAAAAACCCACACAACTGCGGCTAATTTTTCAGTCAACGCGGAATCTTTTGGACGAATTCGTCGTTAACCGACCGGATTTCTTCAGGAAAAAAAGCGATCAGGTTTATGACGGTATTGTTCGGATCGTGCGTAAGTGATTACTGCAATTAACCTCGATTTTGGCTCTTATTCATGCGATTATAGACCGCGGCTTGAATTGGGAATGTTAAAACTTATTGAAACGCGATGCCCGGTCCAATCAGGGAATCAGTTATGCCCGATAAACGATTTCCTGCTGCTATTAATTGAATCAATTGCCGTATTATTTCGCTTAATGAATCCCACCTGGAAATTATGAGGAGCGATTGCTAAATGTGAATCATTATGCAATCGGCTCGGCGTGGTTCAATTTAAGCGATCATTGATCATCACCAGAGTTTGGCTCTGTCCACGCTTCATCACTGTTTTTTCCAAAAAAAACTCTTCTTCTTTCAACACATTTATCTTTGTGAAGAATCTCCAGTCAGTTTGCATGTTTATTCCAGTGTTTTGTCCTTGTTCGAGCCCATTTTGTTCCCTAAAGCTCTCGTTTCTGATCGTGTGTGATTTTCCTGAGATGCGTCTTACTATTTCAATTTGCCTGCGCAGGTTAATATAGGTCTAACTGTGCTTTCGCATATCCTTGCTTTGCTTTCGATGCTCATATACTTGTTTCTCCATATAAAATATTTTAGGGGTCCAGAAATACCAGAGGCTTTCATCAGTTGTGCTTGTTCTGTTCATCTCTGCTGGCAGGCGAGCAAGAAAAACACGGTGGAGCCTGCAGATCCGAAAAAATAATGATTTTGGACTTTTTTGGACGAACACACTTTTTAACCGACAATATGTTCCTTTTTTTACAAACTTCTTTTTGGGTATTTCGCCTCAAAAATTTTTGTCTTTAAAAAACAGAATTTCCTCACGTCTTTTATTACAGATTGATAAATAGTGCTCCTATTTCGCAATAAGAACGAATTATTTATCAA